ATATATATATATATATATATATATATATATATATATATATATATATATATATATATATATATATATATATATATATATATATATATATATAAATAAGTAAAAGTAAATGTAATATTCGTATAGATTTTTAGATAAAGACTTTTAGTCTTATTTTATAGGCCGCTTTTTTATATCGAATAGAATTTATACGAAATAGATCACACAAACGATAGAAATTGAATATATAAGAAAAATGTAACGTGGCCTCCGAAATCGTAAATATAAAAAACATACAAACACATACATATATATAAACTTATGTACGTAAGAATGTATGTTTGTATATATGTATACATGTATGTATGTACGTATGTATGTATGAATGAATGTACACACACAACAAACATATGTGTACTACGAGATGTCTTCCACTACTACGAAAAAAATAAAAAGAGAAAAAGGAAAACGCGCAACTATATCTGTAAGAATTATTTCTACATTCTTGATGTATGTTTTGTTGTAAACAATATTGCCTAGAATATCTTACAAAATTCTTTGTATGTATGTATGTAAGAAAGAAGTACGAGGCATATATTAAAAAATTTACATTATAGAAATAATACAGAATTTGATTATCCTTGTAAATTCAAATCAAATATTGCAATATTTATTTTACTTTTATGTTTATTTTTAAGGGGTACAATATCTACTACAACATTCGATTTATTTAATATATATATATATTTACTGTATTGAGTCTCACAGATTCCAGGAGTATTCATTATAATTTATAGAGTAAAAAAGATACAAGTATAAAAAACAACGAATATTTGCTTATCACAAGAAAAGACTTCGTAAACGACGACCTACACCTTGTCTATCGTACAAAATATTGAATTTGTTAACAAACTGATTGATATTGTTACAACCTTTTGTTATAATACCAAGATACGTCATCAGACCAAAGTCATTGCATTGCTGAAAATATGAACAATATTACATATTGAATACGTAGGTTAATTATTCTCCTAGATTGTAACATATACTTACATTATAAAAATCAGCTTTAAATTTGGGATTGTTTAAAACTGGCAATCTGTGTCCCAAAGAACAGGCTGCTCTTAAAACTTCATGGTTCCCTTTTAATTCACCGTTTTGTACAGCTTGTACATATTTTAAAACTAATTTCACTCTTGAATGTAACATTTTTATAGCACTATGTTGTGCAGTGAGATGTTCTGCAACTGTTATGAATTACAAATTTAAGTTTTACCTACATTTTGCTTATTCACATGGTTATATGGACACAAAATTACCCAATGAACTTTCTCCTTGATCATTACTACACATTCTTGCTACATGATCCACACCAATTCTTTCTGCCTCCTCTGTTGCTAATGTATAAGTCAACGGGACAAACAACATTGTGGCTTCCCCATTTACTAAATCAATCACAGATTCATACATGGAGACAGAGAGTTGCTACAAAACATAAAACTTATTAAATAGTACATGCATGGTCAATAATTAATACATACATCAGTATTTTTTGGTCTTGGATCAAGCTTCAATAACACAGGACTTTCATTAATTTCACAAAGTTGTTTATGTACTGTAATATCTTTCTCATTGGGCATATCGCCTGTAGTATACCAGCCAAGAAAATCCATTTCGCTAAAGACTTGTTTAAATTGTTCTTCCTTGGTATTGTAATAATCTCTATCGATGATGACATCATCCTTAATACATGTAAACATTAATTCAAAAGAATTCATAATTTCTATATTGCGTCCTTTCTGTTTACCAATAAGTGCTCCGTACACTAGAACATTGAGTCATGAAAAATGTGAACTATTGAAATATAAAAGTGAAAAACAGTACAGAATATGTACCTAGTTGATCTGTGCCTTCTTGAGCACGTAGCCTGGTCCAGTGTTCGCTGACATTCATTATGACAAGAGGATGAAGACTAATAGAAACAGAACCGACTGTACCCGAAGATGCCATCACTTTGATAGCACTAGATGGATTTATTGATGTGATGTTGCTTTTTCCAGAAGTATCATCGTCAACTTCCATCGGTGTATCAGTTGAAACCGTTGCGTTATTTTCATCAACCTCCATGATGTTTAAAAACTATTTCTACACGTTTGTGTTGCGTACAACAATATGTAAAAAAAATTATTAATCAGTATTCTGTGGGATGTACAATGATCGCAAATAATATCGATATGAATTTTGTTACGATACCTAGTTTCTTGATTAAATAAAGTTCTTTGTTTAATATATTCCTATTTAGTGTATGTATATTTAAATAATATCAGCCGAGTCCGAAATGTCCAACTTGATCGTGCTTTCCCTCGCAATCGTGCCCGACTATAAATTCAGCGTTGTCAAATTTACGTGTATATGTAGCTACTTAGATAACGTACGTAATACACCGCTCGTAAAATGTTCCTTTGTGATGCAATAAATTATTATAAATCTAGATAACGTACAGCGAATCTGGAATTAGTGATCGTGTGTCGTACACAGCAGAAGTTGCATCGAAAAACACACTAGCCCGAAAAGGTTTCACTACCTGAATAAACACTTGAGCATGTGTACTGCCGTGTACAATTGGACATTTTAAAAAGAGAATCGTTAAACCGATTAAACGCGTTATATACGTTATATACGAGAGTAATTGCAAAAACACATAAATGTTTAACCGAAACAGCACAGTTGAGTGTTGCGACGATTAAATCCAATGAGACGATAGAACAGAAACTGGCGATTCCTAGGCCAGCCAATATGAAACAATCATGTGTTTTCTGGGCCCGACGTACAGCACAGTAAGATGTTACGCTGCATGATTTTCTCATTTATTTGCCCTTGTTTATTTTGAATTGATCGCGTTGATCGGAACGCTTTTGGATGATCCAATAACAAAACCGCGGTACAGGCGACATTTCGTCGAGTTTAAGTGAGTATGTGTATCGATTGGACAATTCACGAGGAAAAATTTTAGGTTAGACGGAACGGATCTGGGTTAATAAAGGGCGCAGTTGATTGCGAATGTCCAAAAATTTGTCACCTTTCTTGTCGAACCTTGTCTAGGACAATTTGGAGTCGAGAAATATTTGTTTTATCTCGACTGTTATCTTTTTTGTGTTATTCAATATTGTATTTTTTCTCTGAATTGCGTTTGTAATTTTCGTTGACACAAAACAAATCAACTGTACTCTAATTAAATTTATACATACATACATATACATATATATATATAAGAAAGAGAAACGAAGGTATCATCAATGATTGCATTAAAATTTTTGATTTAATGTTTGAGGATAGAAAGAAGTATTATGCAGAATTAAAGCTATTGAGTGGTTTCCCTGGGAACTTGATACTTTGTACTGTTGATATCTTTGTACAATGGAGAAATTAATAGGAGTCCATCAGTTGAAAGATATACTCAACAACTTCCCAAGGACTGTAAAATTTTGCTTTGCGTATGGATCTGCGGCGTTCAAACAAATGAACAATCAGTCGAACAGTATGATCGATCTTGTATTTGTTGTTCGTAATGTAAATCAATGGCATGCCGAAAATTTAAAGCTCAATCCAAAGCATTATGCCCAACCGCTGAAGCTTTTTGGACACAAGGCAATTACTAACATACAAGAGAAATGGGGCGCTAAAGTATATTACAATACGCTGGTTAAAATGCCGCAAGGACATATGATCAAGTACGGTGTAATTTCTGAAGTTTCACTGATAGAAGACCTACTGGATTGGACTGACATATACTTAGCAGGGAGGCTACACAAACCAGTTAAAATACTTGTGGAACCAAATGAACATTCTCAATTACGCACAGCGTTGGTACAAAATTTACATTCGGCTGTACATGCAGCATTGTTGTTGCTCCCACAGCATTTTACGGAAGTTGAGTTTTACAAAGTTATAGCTGGCTTATCCTATAATGGTGATTTTCGTATGACGTTTGGCGAAAATAAAGAGAAAGTGAACAACATTGTTTTACCCCAACTGACATACTTTAGGCAATTATACAGCCCAATTTTACATCGTTTTGAGAATTATGTTGATATTCCAAAGTCTGAGAACATGACTGTTACCTGCCATCAAGATACAAGCCCTACAACAAAAATACATCACTTGAATCAGTTACCAAGAACACCGCAAGTCAAGCTTGTTAGGGCATGGTCTCAAGGTCCCAGATCAAAGGACACTGAAGATTGTTTACGTGCAATTGCTTATGATCCTGACTGTGGTGAAATATTAGAAGATTGCTTGAGACAGATTGTGTGGAGATCCAGTGTTACCCAAAGTCTGAAGGGTATTGTAACTGCTGGGTTTATGAAATCTATTCAGTACAGTGCAGCGAAAGTAATGAAGATGTTGCAAACAAATTCACAGATAACTCCCCTTCCAAAATTAGAGCCGAGTCAAAGTAAAGTTGAAAGAATAGTGGAGAGTGTAAAGAATCAGGCACAATCAAAAGAAACAGACAAGCGCATAGACTAGTAATCACATTAATCTTGCTCATACTTTAATTCTGTCATATGTACTGTGATTCGTGCGAATATATTTTGAATAAAGTTCTCATTTAGTTGACTTGTAATTATTGTTCCTAGGTATACTCAATACCGTAATGTTTTAAATTATTTTTATAAAACGCTGTTCCGTTCTACTAAGTAGAATAATTAAGGATTAAAGTCAAATTCTTAATTATTATATTATATATATATATATATGGTGTTATCTGTTTGTAAAAATGTACGTGTATTTATACTGGTTTCAGCGAATAATTAATTATGACTACAATGGATTCTGATTCTGAAAGTCAGGACAGTGATGATGGACGACGATTTCGTTTTGAAGCTACTCGTAAAGATAACGTGCAGTTAGACGCAAAATTAGGAAAACTGTCGAGATCGAGATCAAAATCGGAACACGAGTCTGGCTATAATGACACAGAGCATAAAGATAAAAAAGACAAATCTAAACGTCACTGTAACAAAGAACACAAATTTTCAAAAGAACTAGACTCCGACAACGACTTCAAACATTGTACTAAGCATTCGAAACATTCTGTCGAGTCGAAAAACTCGAAACACGAAGATGATGATGATCATAAAAATGTAAGAGACGCTGGTTCGGATGCTAAGAGTACTACGTTATCGTCAAAGCATAAAACGAAATATGCAGAACGGCACAAGAGTAGAAGCCGAAATGAACATCGAAGCAACAAGTCTCAAGAACGATGTCGTAGCCGAAACGAAAACGACAAGCATAGAAACAAATCTCACGAAAAGTATAAGCATTCTATTCGCGATAGAAGCCGCGACAAAAATTATCAGCCGTACAAAACGAGATCCGAAGAGCACGGTAAGTTTCGAGGAGAATCTGAAAGGCATAACACACACAAAAAGATGCTGGTGAGAGAAGATGAAGGGCAATGCTTGGAAGAATATTCTTCATCTAAAAATGTAGAACAAGGTCATAACGATAATGAATCACCAACGAAGAGAGATCTTTCAGTGGAGAATCAAGAATATAAAGATGAATTGAATTTATCTGAATTTGACATCCTCTCGGAGACGGATGAAAATACATCCGATTGTTCTGATATAAAGGATAAAAACTCACTATCACAACAACATAATAAGAAATCGAAAAAAAGAAATTTTAACAATGAATGCGATAATTTGCCAAAAAAGCAGGCGAAACAAATCGAACCCATGGAAGGATCGCTAAAGGTAAATGCAAGGAAGAATAATATGTTGTATGGTTCCAGTAATAATAATTCTGGTACCATTTCAGATTCCTCATTAGGTACTACATCGCCTATACTGACAGAATCGAGGAAAAACATAGTTGATTTAAATAGTAAGGAGGAGAGTTTGAATTTTACTGAACAAACTTCCTTGCATCCCGATAATTACGACTCTGCAAAAGCAACAGATGTTCATTTATCTGAGACGTGTATTGAGAAATGTACAACCTACGGACCGGCCCTGCCGCCGCAATTAACAGTTGATTCTTCCATTAGCATGGAATCAGATGAAGATGTACATTTTATAGGACCTTGTTTATCAAAGAATGACGCACAGGATACAAGTGCAAGAACTGAGAAAGACACACTACACAGCATTAATCAAGATAACATAATGCAAAATGATACGGATGTTGTTTTTGGTCCAGCATTACCACCGCATTTATTGAAGCAAAAATATAATAACGAAACAAATACAAAAATCATGGGCCCTACTCTTCCAAATACCATAACATTGTTTAATGATAATGAAGTAAATCAAATAGAATCCGAGGACGAAGATGAAGGTATAGGTCCATTGCCGGTTAATCATCCAGCGTTAGACAGTAACTACGTACAAAGACAATTGGAACAACGAGCGCAGCTAATTAAAAATGAACAGAAGAATGAGGTAAGACAAATTGATTGTCTTGATATTTGAAATGTTCAAAAATTGGAATATAATGAACTATATTACAGGATAGTAAGGTGAATCAACGGGAAGAATGGATGATCGAGTTACCTCCAACTCAGATTGATAATTTAGGATTAACATCACGAAAATTTCGAATGAGAGCAGGTCCAGATATGTCTGATAGGTCATGCTGGACAGATACTCCAGCAAAGAAAGCTGAGAAACGAAAACAGCGAGTAAATACGATATAATATATATTTTTTTTTTTTTTTTTTGCAAAGAAGAAAATTGTTAAAGTAATGTTGCTGCACATCTCATCATTTTAGGAAGAAGAGAAACTACACAATGTTCAAACATCGATTCGAGATTTGTTTGAGGAAAGTGGTAAAACTGAATGTAGGAAAAGTAAGAAACGTGAGAAATCGCTTTTAGAAATACATCGAAACCAGCTACAAAAGGAAAAACGGGTTCGTTTCGTTTATTTTATACTCTGGATTTAGATATTTGTATTTTCCTCTAAATGAGAAACTCTAATAAAAGTGAAATATAAATTTTAGAAAGAAGAAAAAAAGGCAAAATCAACCGCGCAGGCAATTAGAAGACCATTTGACAGAGATATCGATTTAACAGTTAATCGATTCGATCAGTCTCAGAAGAATGCTATCATACATAAAGCACAATATTTAGACGAAAGGTTTTCTCGCGGAAAGATTTAATAAGAAATCAGAGTAAATATTTCAATTCATTATTAAAATTTTATATGTAGAGTACATAACGAATTAATTTGTTTCAGTATAAGTAGTTTTGCTAATGAGTGCCTTCACACACGCACACACGCGCGCGCGCGCGCGCGCGCACACACACACACACACACACACACACACACACACACACATTTATAGTAAAATTATATTTCAAGATAAACCGAATGTTTTCATTTTTCATAAATAATTTTTTCTTATTTAATGTTTTGTCATTATAACAGTTAATCATATTGTAAATGATATTTATGTTGAAATATTAAAAATGTTTAAAATACCCAAAGACTGGAATATATTCGAAGTCACTCAGGCAAAATATATTATATGCTATAATCTAAATTTAATTAATTATTCCTTAAGTATTAAAAAATTACATTATATATAAATAATATATTTATATATAATTATCTTAATTATCTTTATATGCATTATAAATCATATCAAGTCATAGTTTTGTTTTTATTTTTATTGTTTAAATGGTCACTTTTCACGTTTGTAATGTTTATGTGCAGCATGACATGTGATAAGTGAATAAACTGTAACATTGTATATATACATAATAGACATAAATTTCACGTATAAAAACAGAAAAGTACTTTTTTTCGATTAATTTTACTGGGCAATCGATTTTATTCGTAACTATTTAAGGACATTTTGATGTAACAGTTGTTTTATCCAATGCAAACAGTTGTAATTGTACTAAGTTTAAATACACTTTTTACAAAAATCATCGTGCGTTTAATTTGCTTCACGAGATAAAACAAAAAGAAAAGGAAGGAGAAAAAAAATGTCAACAATATTAACATTTAAAAAAAGTAAAAATATTAATATCTGCGTAATCGATCACAAAAAAAAAAAACGTAACAAATGTGAAAAAGGTCGAGATGCGAAATGCGTTAAGTAAATCAGTAATTACACATTAGACATAATGAAATATATCATGAAAACAGCATCGAAGATTCAAACAAGGTAAATTTTAATTTGAAAGTTATCGTTATGAGATATTACCATATAAAAATCGATGCGTTACAAGTAAAAGCTGACATTTAATTCGATTTAAATTTAGCGCTCGCGTCGCGTGACGTACACACGTCCAAGATGGCCGCGCTCGACAGAGAAATAGAGGAAAAGGTGTATGTACGACATCCGCGTGACTCCAGTGATCAAGTTACTTACAATTGCTTTTTTTTTATTTCAAATGTAAAAAAATCGGACAAATGGCTCTTGCGTTATGTGTACACGGCCGTTCAAGTCGCTTTTATTGAAGTAATTATGAACAAATCGAACGAAGCTGAGTCTTTGACATTTGCTGGCAAACTTTAATCGACGGATTAAATCAGTCGCAGTCCGTCTAACGTCGTCGTAAGGGACTTTATGTTTTTTATCAGCAAGCGATATTCCCCCGATATTTCTGTCGTTTCGGAACCGTGAAAATGAAACGCGACGTGTAAACGATGCGTGTCTTGTTGCACACTTGTGATAGCCACAATATTACATTTGCGAATGCGTGTATGCACGTACATACTTGCGTACGTTTTACGAACCGATTGAATGTCCCCTGTGTGTCATACGTAACGTGTTTTCCTGGATGAAAAAGGATAGAGGGACATTAGTATGTATGTATGTATCAGTATATCGAAGTTATCTACATACTTCATATCTAAGCGTTGAGTACTGACAAAATAAGGGTTAAAAATTTGCATACGTCTCCGTGTACAACATACGTTTGTCACAAGATGCTTCTCACGAATTATTGGTGCATTTTGTTATATACAGCATAACCCGATATTTTTGGAGAAACTTGCAATGCCCGTTTGTCAATGTATTATGTCGGAATAACGGATGTACGTTAATTGCACACAATCTTTTTTCTCATACTGACAATAGAATAATTAGCTTGCATCTTTTCGCCTACGGATCGTTTATTCAACAATTAATCGACAATTAATCGTTCAAAGATGTAGTCGTGTATCGAGAGTGAAATGTTACAGTATAATTCATCAACAAACTTGATCTTGCTCACTAATTCTTTGGCATAAGTGAGGTTTACTGTACGAAATATAAATTATTGTCACATAAGAATGTATTATTACTTGATGATGTAGTTAGTATATAGATGCTATATGAAAGTGGTAGGAGTTAATATTCAATTCTTATAGAGATAAAAAGAATCCTCGTTACGGTAGAAACGTGTGACTCATTGTATGGGAAAGAAGATTCTTTGGGAATTAATAATCTTTTTAGTACACAAACATGAGTATGCAATTGCACAATTTTATTAATTGTAATTTTATGATGACGTATGTAGTGTATATAATAAATAAGATAGATAAGTAAAACTGTTGGCAAACAATCTAAGTATTGCAATTATTTTGACGCAGGTTAGCATCATTTTGTTTGTTGCAATGGATACGTTAGTATCTTGGGACTGAGTGCAACGTATAATGAAGTCCTTAAACAAAGTTTCCATAGAGTATTAAAATTGACAAGATAGTGGATACCTTTAACATTTTAAAAAAATGAGACAGTGTTGCTTGAACCACCAACTTCAATTGTGGCTTATGTTCCTTGTCTTTTGTGTGATGTGCAACAAAGCGGATATTTTAGTATTTTCTGCAGCCGCTAGGCATCAGATTGAAGAAGAATTTAGAGATATACCAGCTAGATTCGGAGGTTTAATACCATCTGATGGGATTAAGGTATTTAATATCATAACATGAGTCATATATGATGCTTGTGTTACGTTATATGTGTTAAGAAAAAGTAACAAAGTATCTCATAAATGTGCATTTTTATATAATTATATCATCAATGCAATCTAATATCGATAGTTTTGATAATTTTGTTAGAAAATAGAATACAATAATAGACAAATTGGGAATGAAACAGATTTTTTGGTTTATGGGAAATCTTTTATTAGGGAATGGTTGTGTATGCAGAACCATCTACGGCATGCCATGAAATACAGGGTCCTCCTAATAATACCAATTATAATGGCAATTGGATAGTTTTGATTGCTCGCTATAATTGTAGTTTTGAAAGAAAAGTACGAATGGCACAGAAGGCTGGGTACGATGCTGTGATTATACATAATGTAAACAGCAACAAACTAGGTAATTGTTTTCAATACAAGAATACACAACAAGTGCAATGATTATCATTGAGAGAATTTAAACAATGGTCATTCAGTGTTAGAATGCTTGTGAATTATACATATAATATTCTTTGTTACAGAACCAATGCAAGCTAGAGATCCTGGAGGAATATTAATACCATCTGTATTTGTCAGTGAAATCACAGGATTAATCATTAAAGAAAATTATTTATACGATGAGTTATATTTTATACTAATCAATGATGATATCCCATTCAATGTAACACACTTGTTTTTGCCTTTTGCTATTGTTATTGGAATATGTTTTCTAGTCATGATTATCTTTATGGTGAGAGTTGCAAAATGAAATTATAAGCAACCTTTGAATTATTTTTAGCAAGATATAGTTATTATTGTGTACGTTTAAAACATTTTTTTTTTTCTTTTTGTAAATTTACAGATTGTTAGATGTATTAAAGAGAGGAGAAAGCAACGAAGGCATAGGTTGTCTAATTCAAGTTTGAAGAAGATTCCTACGCACAAATATACAAAAGGAGATCCGTATGAAACGTGTGCGATTTGTTTAGACGATTATGCAGAAGGTGAAAAATTACGAGTGTTACCCTGTGCACATGGTTAGTATGCCTCCTTGTGTGTGATTGTTGAAATATTTAAAATGCGGTATTAATATCTTGAATAATAATTTCATTTATCTTCAGCTTATCATACAAAATGTATAGATCCTTGGTTGACAAAAAATCGTAGAGTGTGTCCCGTTTGTAAGCGAAAAGTTTTTGCAGCGGATGAGCAAGTTGTTACTGACGAGAGTGATTCGGATGCCGACGATACGACACCTTTGATTCGCGAGGGTCATCAAGGTAATAAGAAAAAAAAAAATCTTCATTCTTTTCAGTATAAAAAATTCAATTAAATGTTTTATTAGGAACTCAAGGTGGAACATTTTCGCGACAAAGGGAGAACCCTTTTAGCCGTGCTAGATCACAGACCAGAAGATCACAAACAATCCATTCAAGTAGTAGTTCCGATTCGGAAGAATTGTTTGATACACCAGATGATGAAGCTAGTGTAAGTGGCGGGGAACCATCTAGTGGAACTGTTTTCAGGGCGTTTGATATTCATAGCATTAATGGTAAGAATTACTTTGAGATATTACTTAAGCACGTTTTTATTAATCCTCCCAATGCAGCTCAACATTCATGATATGTTGTAAAATATAACTTGTTAGATAATTATAACTATCAGCACTGTGAGGATTGATAATTTAGTAATGGAGAAAAAAAATAGCAATTTTAATCGTTTAATTTAAGGCGAGTTGCCGGATCTAGAATGTTCTGTGAGCAGCACTAAACCACACACAGTAAATTTATGTACAGACGCTGAAGGCTTGCCAGCCCCAGTCGTTCAAATCATAAATCGAAATAGACGACCTGTAGCAAATTCACAAATTTGTGAAATTGGATCTGTCGTATCAATTGAAAACGAAGCTACAAATTTTATTAACACGGATTCTGAAGAGACCGATATTCATGTGTAAAACTCAATTCAATTCTATTTTTTATTATGTGTCTATGTTGTGGATAAAATCGATACGTTCTTTTAAGGTGTTACAAAATTAGATTACTAAAATAATTCATAAATATGAAAACGAGGAACATTTTCAATGTTTTAAGGACTTCATCTTTTATTTCAAAGAACTAAGATATCTGATATATATATATATATTTATCATCACTTGTATCTCTGTCAACTAACTGGTTCGCATTAACATGACTGTTCCATAAATTTACTTCATTCTTGTCTAACTTCACTGTTCTTCAAGCATTTTTTTCTACGTCATGTATTTTATAACAAGGTAAGGCGAAAATTTCTTGAAAATATGCCATTGTTTTAATAGTAAAAATCATTGTTACCCTGTCAGCTTATTTTAATTAAAAATCAACTTAAATATACGAAAATAGTTATTTAATAGCGTTAAGACTGCAAATTACTTTTCTCTTTTGTTTAAAAGATGTTCGTATAGAAACAGTTTATTCAGAAGTATTGTAATTCGTTTAAATTCATTCATTTGTTTTACTCAAAACTTTATTATCAACATTATTAAAAACTAACTAACGTTTATTTACAGTTTTACACGGCCTAGATATTTTATCTTTACACTTGATTCATATATACTTTACTATTATCTTTGTTTAGTGATCACAGTATATACATACACACAGATACACACATTCATATATATCTTTTCTTTTTGTTTGATATTAAAAATATATTTTTAATTATTTCATTAAAGATGATCATTGGCGATATACATATATACATACCATGAAAGGAAAAAATATATCTTTTAATGACATATAATCAGCAACGTGAATTTGTAAATATTATTTGTTATTGTATATACATACATATATATATATATATATATATATATATATATAAGTTAGAAGACCAAAAATAGAATTTTCTTTAATATGCAGGACATGTAGAGTACAATTAAAATACAATGGATAGGGTATATTTGAGATGTTGATTGTTACGTTAACCGCATTGAATTTTGTTAAACAAATTTAGTAAAAGGTAATGATACATCTAATATTGATAACTGATTTTCTAAAAAGACGTAATAAAATATAATTGCATGTTTTTGACATGCTGTTTTCTATACAGATTCTGTAAATCTGTTTATACATACGTGCAGAGTGTTTGAGGAGGAATCACTTTCGCTGGTGTGTTTGATAGGCCAGTCTGAATAAAAAAAAGTCGTACACACTATGGACTTTGATTTACTTGTTCGAGAAACAGATTTTACATTTGTATAATTGACACAGAAAAATAAGTTTTCATCTTTTTACTCGTATAGACCAAACGAGGTGCCCAAAGTAACGATTTTAATGATTGTCATCAGCCCATTATATAATTTCACGTTTAATATTATTAATGGCAATGCGTGTAGCTCGTATTTGTCCTTCACGTGTTTCTGGGTTACTGTTGCTGTACACTGCCCTAGAAGGAAGGTCATCATTTTGGCCATTTCCTTTGAGCTATAATAAAAAAAAAAAAGATGAAAATTATTTCTCTACTCTGATTGTATATAAATGCAAGATCTGCTTTTTGAAATAAGTAAAAAACAAGTGAATCGAAACTTATAGTACATGTGGCCTCTTTTATTCAGAATGACCTGATCAAACACACTGGTAAAGTTTCCTCCTGAGGCACTCTGTATGTATATATAGATATAGTTGGAGGGGTAAGGTGGGTTGGGATGGAGGAGAGGAGTTTTCAGTCATTTCCTAATAACGTGATAAAAACTGTCTAAAGTTAAACTGCAAAGATATGTATCATGTAGAGAGAGAGAGAGAGAGAGAGAGACGATGCTTAATTATGAATTAATAAATTACGGAAATTAGGAGATGATTATTGTGATTCGATTGATGTTTAAATGAAGTCTTTCGGGAGAGAAGTGAAACACGGGGAAAGTTGTATAAAATTGTGTAAATAGTCGATATGCGTGAGGTGATGATGCGTGCGTGAGTCTGCGCGTGTACGTATGTATGTATGTATGTATCAATATGTACATGTATATGTATATTTTACAATGTTAAAGAATGAATTTTTACTTGATAATTATGATGTCCGAATCGAAAGATCAGACTTGCTACCATCTTATTGTTTAATGCTAGATGTATTGTTCGGATAAAAATAAAAAGATATTTATATTTTGTGTTTTACTGTACTGCAGTTTCTCTACTTTTGTCGATGTATTTCTCTACCGTTTGTCGATGTATGAAATAACTTATTTGCAGAGATAGAAAAGAAGGAATCGTTAATTATCCAAAAAAATGTCATCGTTTCCAACGGCGTGAGTTGAAGAAATGTGTAACTGGAACAAACATTGTCACCAAGGAGACGGTAATTGCGACAAGAACTAAAAAAAAAAAAAGACAATTGACAATTTCACAAACTCGTGAAAAAGAAATGACAAGAAAGGAGTAGAGTTTCGGAGCGATTGTTTAAATGCAAGAATAGGAAGAATAAATAGAAAGGTAAAATGAGCAGGATAGGCGAGAAAAGAGGAGAGAGAAAGAGTAGGAGGAAGAGGAGGGAGGAGGGAGGCAAGCAGAAGCGACAATGTAGGAAAGTTATGCGGTTGTACAGAGGAAAGAGGTTCTAACAGTGTTCTGTCGAGTTGAGTGAGAGCGAGTGGCCGCACGTGACGGCACAATGCCATTTGAATTCGCCTCCTTGTTCAAAAAAATCGGCCACAGACGGTCACGATGACGAGGAAAGATCGTGCTCTGTTCTTCATAGCTTCGGCCTCTTCAACCTCATCCGAGTAGCCTCATCCTCTCCACCTTCGCTATCGCAGCAACCCCGATTTCTTCCTCCACCTCTGAATCTTTCTTATTCATCCTCTTGATCTTTCCTCTTCTGTCACCCATACTATTCGACGTCCCTTTCTCCACCTTTTGCTGCTTTTTTTTTTTTTACAAAATCGAGCACTTTCGATGCTACCTACCAACCAGTTAGTTTCCAACACGTATCCGTACAATTGTAACGTTGTTGTTGCTTTTTTTTTTCTTCTTCCTTTTTTTCCTTTTTATCACATTGACACGCGAATGTTAGAGTGACAGTCGAGCAGATTAAACGATGGATGCGTTTCTGTTAATTTTCCTTGCAATGCGGCGCAGTTCGTCGATGTTTCACATTGTTGTAATTGCTTCCGCGTTACATAATGCTCGGCATGACGTGCGAGAAACAAGGATTTATGGAACGTTGTCACGGAACAATCAATTTTTGCGCAATGTTTTACATCAGCGAGTCGTAAATGTTCATAAATACTCGTCCCCGAGTCGATCTGTGAAAATGTGCGAATCGTTTTTAGTTGGAGACATTGCGCAATTTACTTGCCCTCGTGCGTTATCTCGTGTCACGTTTTTACACGATGTGTCAATACCGTTTTAATGTATTCATAGCAATGGAACACCTGGAGAAGGACGCGTGTAGCAACCAGGTTCATTCATACGTTCAAGAATTGAAATCTAATCTCGCCACGTGACCACCTGCGTTTCGGAACAAGTGCACAAATCATGCATCACGAGATAGAGCTCTGAATCTCGTTAGCCTGTTATCGCAGATTAACGCTGGCGTAGTAAAAAATGGGGACCGTTTACGAGCTTGATTCATCAATTAAAATTCAATAATTAAAGGCAAACAAAACGATTCGACAGAGCATTCAGAGTAGCGTTTGCACGTGAACGTGTTGCGTGGATCAAGATCCGAAAGATCGAGATCAAGATTGTATCAGGTATCTCATATGTATGTTCAAACTAAAAAAAAAAAAAAGAAAAAAAAATGCATCGCGCAAAGTACTTGTTAATAAATCAGTTGCCATTTCAGCCGAGGTACGTTCGTCGTCGACTAGCATAAAAGGGAAGACCACAGGACATTGGATCTACGCGATTAAAAGCGGATTTGAAGAAGTTTCCGCGGCAACATACCGCAAGTGCCTTTAAATCGGCGCTCTCTGCTCTTTTCCCCGTTAGCCGAGGGTGAAGAAAGCACGAGCGAGACACAATCGCGGCAAAGATGTTTCTCATCCTTCGTCGATAATTTCCAATTTCGATTTGAAATTTCGACCCTCGAGACGGTGTCCCTCGCCGCACGCTCGTAGTCGAGACTGCGCGAGCTAGCGCGAGCTAGCCAGAGTAATAATCGAGTGAGCTAGCCGTTCGCGTGACTAACTCGTCGCTGTTGCCGCAGCTGCTCGCGGATTATCGATTCGCGAGTATTTCCCTTCGTCCGTGGTCATGCGCCGTCCGGGCCACACCACCAGTCGACCTAACTTTGAAACAGGGAGAGACCGAACGAGTACAAAATAGAGAGAGGGTGAAAAAGAGAGAGAGAGAAGGATAAGCTGCGAACACCGTCCTTGGTAGGATACGCCTTTTCGTGTATGCGTATATCCGTGCGCAAGGAAACGTGCTCTCGCGCTGGATGCTAACGCGGTGCATGCGCTCTCCGCCGTTGAACGCTGCTGCATCGTCCACTTGGTATATTTGGAACATGGTCGTTGCGTCGACGACGATATCCCCATGATTGTCGAGGGAGCTTTTCAATTCCACGTGTCAACGTGAGCAAACGACATCACGTTCGAACCGCGGCGACAAAAATCGTCGAAAGCTTGCGTCCAACGTCTTGGAATTGCCATTGTTTGTCCCCCCCCCCCAAAAAAAAAAAAAAAAACGAACCGATGTCGAAAGTATGTTTCGTTGTACGAGGGAGATTATTTTCCATCGAACGTCTACGGCTGTTGTAATAGGTCAGCGAGAGAGCGAAGATCCGATCGGATCTCTTCTTTTTTTTGGATGTCACTGCGGCTCGCGGACCGTAACGAGCGGCCGGGAACCGTTATACAATAACTCGTCGCTTTCTTTCCCTCTCGCGCTCGTCCGATAACGATATCACTGTACGTACAGAGAATTGCAATAAAAGTGACAGACTTTTTTGTCATTTGCTTCGCCATGTCTCGGGTTACGTCTCGATGTTACTCGAAACTGAAGCTGAGGAAATGTTGCAATTTTGGCAGAAAAGGTTGCTCGACCTCGGTCAGAAAAGGTTGCTCGTTTAGAAAAAAAAAAAACGTCTCGAGAACGAACGATTCGGAGATGGACAAAGGAGTAATCCGACGCACCGCGTGGGGAAACGGCGTGTGCCACCGTTGTTTTTGGTCGAGTGACGGAAAAACACGAGAATCGGGGGGGGGACATCGCGAAAACTGCTGAAGAGAGGAAAGGAGGGGAAGGGCAAGCTCGAGGAGTCGAGAAGCGAGTGAGGGGAAGAGCGAGAGAAAGAAAACGAGAGAGAGAGCAGATAATCGGGGATGGAACGAAGGGCACAAAGGATCGCGACGAAGAGGAGGTGGAACAGGGGTCAGAGAGCGGTGAGATGGTTGCTGCTCCCTGCTCCCGATAAAGAGAAAGATGGCGGATTCACATGGGACGGAGACGGGGCACGCGATTTCCACCGATTCTCCGGCCTGTCGACGACGAGAGAGGATGTCGATGGTATTACTCGATGCGACGACGATCGACGGTCACTTGATCCGAGACGGAAAATGGGGGAGGAATCTCTTGGCGTCCGTGCTGCTTTCGAAGGGTGGCAGCAAACGAACGCGAGGGGGCAGGATTGAAAGAGAAAGGGGTCGGGTGATGCGCGAGAAGGAGGGAAAAGAAGGATGGTGGTGGAGGAGGAGGAGGAGGAGGAGGACGAAAGTAGGGGTGAAAAAGGGGGCGAGATGGAGGCGCGCGCAAGAGATCCACCCGAGATTACAACTGATACGAATGTACGTGTGCATAAAAGGGAGAAAGACGAGGAACGACCGAAATAGACGGGGAGGGGAGGGGGAGAGGACGATCAGGAACAGCAGGAGAGAGAAAGAAAGAAAGAAGGAGCGAGTTAAAATAGGGAATAGGCAAAACCGTAGTAGGAAAACGGGTGGTTGAAAGAGGAGAGGATGGGAAAAGTATCGCGGGGAGGAAGAGGCGAGGAGTAGCGATAGATAGATAGATAGATATATATATATAGAGAGAGAGAGAGAGAGAGAGAGAGAGAGAGAGGGAGAGGAGAAATTTCAGCGTGTGTGTGTATGTAATGTATGTGTACATGTATGTATGTATGTATGTATTTGTGTGTGTGTGCGTGCGTGTGCGCGTGCGAATTGGAAAGACAGACCATCCGAGAGACCGAAGGTGCAGCGAAGTTTCCGTCGTCTCTCGGAGAGGGACTCTCGGTACGTTCGTTGTACGAACCGCGCGCAGTTGCTGGTGCGCGGCTACGGGGTCGGTGTTTCCGTGTCACGCGCACGACCCCAAAAAGTGTGTATGTGCGTGCGTGCGTGCCTGCGTGCGTGGTTCGACTGCCGTCCGCGTTGCAGGCTCCATCAATTACGCGACGATAAACACGGGATCCTGTCTGTGCAACATTATACGAACAGCAGCGAGTTAGATCGGAGGGAGAGGAAGAAGTAGAAGTAGTAGAAAAAGAAGAAGAGGAAGAAGAAGAAGAAGAAGAAGAAGAAGGAGGAGGAGGAGGAGGAGAAGGAGGAGGAAGTGGAGAGAGGAAACAAAGAAGAAGGAAGAGGAAGAGGGAAAAAGCAGAGAAAAAGAGAGAAAGCCAAAGGCGCGTTTCACGAAACACGATCATTATCGGTCGCGCCACCATCGTGTCGATAAAGGTTTCGCTCGCCCGAAACCGCGAAAAGTGGATTCGTCGATTCTGCTGCTGGACCACAGCAAACACCGCCCCGTTTCGCCAGTTTCCACACACCAGTGGCCGTCGATCGTCGACGATTTCTGCTACTATTTGGGCGAATATCGGAGGCGAAGGAACGGAAGGAAGGAGAAAAGAAAGCGAAACGAATAGACAGACAGACAGACAGACAGACAGACAGACAGACAGATAGATAGATAGATAGATACATAGAAAGAGGGAGAGAGAGAGGAGAGGGAGGGGGGAGTAAGAGGAAAAGGAAAGAGTCGGTCACGCTGGTAGTGACACTGTTAAATCTCGTTTCGTCGACGCGCAAACGATGCGTTGACAACGGAAACTGAGCAAAGGATATCACCTCGGCGCTGAATATCGATGTTCACCGTGCAGTTAAATTCCGGTGGGTGAAAAATTCGGTGCGCGCTGTAGTAGGTACGCGCGTGCGACTCTCTGGCTGGCGAGATTCAAAGTGAGTCGACGCGACGCGACGCGACGCGACGCGACACGACGCGATTTCAAAGGTGCGCCACGGTCGAGGGACACACGGAGCCTCCAGTGCCACGAGGAGCTCCGACAACGGCTCGTCGAGAGACGAGTTCCGCCTGTAACAGCGAGAGAGAGAGAGAGAAAGGGAGAGAGTGTGTCGAGTCGAGCAGCAGCAGTACGACACACGACACGACACGACACGACACGAGTCTCGAGAAAGTTTCGGTCACGATTGGATGCTCGTCGCGCGGCAGCGACCAAACCGAGAGGATCTCCGTGGAGCTCGGTATCGAGGAGCAAGGTGATTCGATCGGACGCGCCATCCGTCCTGCGTTTTCCGCGTGTCGAAGCCGCCCCCGAGTGGAATCGCCGACTCGTTCGTAAGAAAGGTGCCCGCTCGACACCGTACACCGAGCCGACGAGAGAAGACGATCGAAACGTAGCAAACTAGTCGGTGGCTGGGGAGAGAGAGAGAGAGAGAGAGAGATTGCATTTGAGAAGGAAAGAGGAAGAAGAAGAGGAGGAGGAGGAAGAAGAGGAAGAAGAAGAAGAAGAAGAAGAAAACGGTGAATTGGTCAATCCGTTGGAAGAAGGAAGAGATTCGACAATCTTATCGTCGTCTATCCGTTTGGAATTTCCATCGTCACGGTGCAGAGGGCCGTGCGCGCGCTCCTCCGCGCGCGCGCGCGCGAGCTCTCACGCGCGGATCCTGGTGCGCGTTACCATTTATCAAGGCTAGCCCCATAACCTTACTTTGCCACCGAGGAAAACCGAGTCTCCTCCGACTGCCTCGATCATCGTGCTGCACGAACGAGGGAAGAGAGAAGAGGGGGAGAGTGGGTGTTTCGTGTTGAGACGCGTTGCACCCGAGCGTCGTAGAGAGAATCAGCAAGGAAACCCACTCGTTGGAGGGTGTAGAGGAGCAAGAGAGAAGTGTACCGAGCGAGATAGCTGGCTAGCTGGCTAGCTGGATAAATAGGTAGATAGATGAATGGACAGATAGTTAGACAGATAGTGAGACAGTGAGAGAGATAGGGAGACAGAGTGTGCGTGCGTGCGTGCGTGCGTGCGTGCGCGTGTGTGTGTGTGAGTGTGTGAGAGAGAGTGGCGCGTGTGTGTGAGTGAAAGAGAGGAGGGGGAGGGAGAGAGAGAGAGAGAGAGAGAGAGAGAGAGAGAGAGAGAAAAGCACAACGAGGTCAAGGAGGAAAGGTTAGGTAAGAGTACTCGCGGAAGGTGGATACTCGGCAGGCTGCTGGCAAACTTGCTTGGGGTGTGTCCATGAAGCGGACGCAATGGCAACGAGCGAACGAAACGACGTCGTCGGTGCCGCGTAGGTCGTCAGCAACGTGGTGGCCGTCGTCAGAGTCGTCGTTGAAGCCGCGGTGGTACGCGTTGCCGTTTGATCGGCAGGCGTGATCGTCCGCTTGATAAACGAAGGGGGGGCAGGGGAGAAGGCAAAGGGAGAATAAACGCCGGGCGTTTAGGATGCAGCATGAACCTCGGTGTCCCGTATCGGGAGCTGGTGAGCCTCGGAAGGGGGACTACGGTGTCCAGGTGCTTTCGCCGGTCGAGAGATCGCAGGTCTCCGTTGTCCTCGAAGCGGGCAGTATCGCCGGCGTCGTCGCCGCCGCTGCCGTCGTCACTGCCGTCGCCACTGCCGTTGTCGTCGCCGTCGCCGTCGCCGTCAACATTGCTGGCGCAACAACAACAACAACAACAACACCACCAACAACAACAACAACAGCAGCAGCAGCAACGACAACAAGTACTACTACTACTACTACTACTACTATTACTACTACTACGACAACGACACCACAACCACAACCACAACCACAACCGCCACCACCGCCAACAACACCAACACCAACACCAACACCACCACCACCACCACCACCACCACCAACAACAACAGCAGCAGCAACAGCGGTTGTCATCGTGTTTACGATCGTTGTCGTCTCGCTGGTCAATCTGGTCGAGAGTTGCCGTTACCGGCGTGGTTGCAGTGCCGCGACAACGGCATCGGAAGTGGCGGCCGTTTGGCCGAAGAATCGGACCGCGCGCAGGAACAACGAGCGGGACAAGGAACGGGAACAAGATCGAGGTGGAGATCAGGAGCGGATCGGCAAGTGGCAGTGGGAACGAGAACGAGAACGAGATCAGGCGCAGCAGCATCAACAGCAGCAGCATCAGCATCAGCAACAGCATCAACAGCAGCAGCAGCAGCAGCAGCAGAATTCTCGCCAGAGGTCGAGCGAGATCGAGATCGAAATCGAGATCGAGATCGAGATCGAGATCGAAAACGAAGAGGAGAGCAGCAGCGAGATTGTACGAGGAGACGAGGAGGAGGAGTCGTCGTTGGAGCAGGTGGCGGCGCGGCCGAAAGAAGAGGCGGAAACGGTGGATCGTCGGGTGCAGCGGCGGCGACAGCAGCGGCGGCGGCGGCGGCGGCGACGTTGGTGGCACGAGAGCCCCGAGTCCGTGGAACGCGTGCTCGCGTCGTTGTTATTGCCGCTACTACTCTCATTGCCACGCGTGTTGGCGTTCGGTGTTTCCACCTGCGTGCCGGTTCTCGTCGCGTTGGCGCGCCACGAGTTGGCCGTTTGCTTCGCCTCGGATCACCCTCGAGATCGTCGCCGAGATCGCCGGGATCCCCGAGAAGGTGGCCGCCTGCTCCAGGGGGACTTCTAAGGGCCCCGCCGACCCGGGCCGCTCGGACAGCTGTCATCTGGCTATCGGCTCCGGGATATCTACGAGCGGGGCTGACACCAATCACGAGTCGTCTCCCATTGCAACAACAGGAGATTGTCTCGATTATCCGCGGGGAAAGCAACTCGCCAAACAACAACAACAACAACAGCAACAGCAGCAACAGCAGCAACAACCAATCTTCGTTTACGCGCAAATTCGTTCGTTGGTCGGCGGCCAGTGTTGGTTACGCGACAGAGTTCGGTCCACGATTCCTCGACGTCGACACAGCGATCGGCGTTCCCTGCCTCTGGTGCCGACAAACCGCTGCTCTGACTCTCGACGAATTACCGACAGTAACGTCACAGAAACAAGCGAAACGACGACGCTCGCCGACGTACTCGAGATTCTCGGCGGTATCGGCAACATCGTCGTCGGTGAACTCGACGAGAGTAACGGCAGCGCGAGTCTGTCGTTGGAAGAAGCGGGAAGAAGAAGAGGAAGAGGAAGAAGAAGACGAAACAGCAACAGCAACAGCAACAGCAGCAGCAGCAGGAGGAGGAAGAAGAGGAGGAGAAAGAAGAAGATCGGGATCGACAAACGCGCGCGACGACGAGCAAACGACGAGAGGCTGGATCGTCGGTGGCAGCAGCGATGCCGGCAGACGACGAGTGGCAAGCACGCGATCGTCGCACCAGGGATCGTCACCAACGAGAGAAATTGGACGTCGCGAAAGGACAACGTCGTGGAAAGAGGGGGGGTGGCAAGCTTCTTGTGGTGGAAGAAGAAGCATCGAAGAATATCGGATCGCGTGGCGAGTTTGCGGCAAGTTTGTTGGTCGTCGAGGGGAGGAGGAACAATCGTCGTCGTCGAAGGGGCGAATCGTCGGGGACGCTAGCGTTCCCGAGCTCGTGCCAATGCTCGAGCTCGATCCGCCCGAATTCACGGGACCATCCACGTCGTGCGATCGGAACAACAACAGCAACAACAACAACGACGACGACGACGACGACGACGACGACGACGACGACGACGACGATGACGACGATGACGACGACGACGACGACGACGACGACGACGGGAACGATCGCCGCTGCTCGTCCTCGACGAGTTTCCCTCCGCGTTTCCCACCTACCGCAATCTCCTCTCCAACGGCCGTGCCTCCCTTTCCGTTCGTCGTTCGTCGTTGGCCGATCCTCGCCGCAGCTGTCGACGCGTACCACGACGAAGAAGTCGACCGTCGTCGACGATACGAAACCAGAAACGCCACTGCCTTTCGTGTCTCTTGCGACTCGGTTTGCCGCAGCGGAGTGCGCCCGCGCATTTCGACGCTCGCCGATATTTTGCAGAAAAAGAGCGACGATTGTCGTGCACCGCAGCGTGGGAACAACCTCGAGGACGAGGGGAGGAAGAGGAGGAGGAGGGATACGGATACCGATACCGATGCCGACGACTGCTACGACAATTGCTACGACAACAACGACGACGACGACGACAAAGTCGATCGCGTCAAGAATTTTATTTTGTCGGCGTCCCGTCAAGGGTCAAGGTCATGGCCTCGTCACATCGGGAGCAAGAAACCGAGGAGAACGAAGAGGTGGAGGAAGGACGGTGATCGGGATCATCGCGCGATCATCGAGTGCCTGGCCGATCCCTCCGGAACTCGTGCCGCGTGTGTCACGAACGTTCCTCCGATCGATGTATCTCCTTACACTGCCTACAACGACGAGAACGACGATGACGAGAGCTGCTGCCGCGTTATCGGCCAGTCATGCCGCGCGATCGGGAACGTTCGTTTTGCTGGACGCGAGGACGAGCTGGATCCGGACTGTACCGTTCGTCGAGATGGGACGCGACACGGTCGGGACGTTGGCAATCGCCCTTCGTCGAACGACGAACAACTCGACGCTCGTGAACTCAAGTTCGAGAGATTTCGACGTGATCGCGACGCGGGGAGGAACGGCGGAGAACGCGAGAGCCACTACACTGCCCGTTTCCAGAAGCCGACTATCGCCAACGGAAATAACGAGAACGAAACGAAACTTCCGACAAAAGGACCAACGACGACGACGACGACGACGACGACGACGACGACGACGACTGCGAAAAAGAGGAAGAAGAAGACATCCAGCAACAGCTGCGGCCAAAAGTACGGACTGTTGTTCGTGTTGTATCTACTGGCTTGGCCTTTGGTATCCTCGACGAATCCCTCCGGACAGTTCATCTCTGGCTTCACCCGCAATCCATCCCTCGGCCCCGTTGAGAACGTTCCGCGTCACAACGCCACGCAGATCTCCTCTCTGCTGGTATCGTCGAGCATCGCTCACCAACGTCAACAGCAGCAGCAATACCAGCAATACCAGCAGCAACATTACCGGCAACTGGAGGAGGAGCACGGAGCGCGGGAACAGTTGATCCGGGACAACGGGCACCATCGTCGTCGACACGAAGAACAACAACAACAACAACAGCAGCAGCAGCAGCAGCAACAACAGGAGGAACAAAGTCGCGAGCAACGAGAAGTGGAGGAGTCGTCGTATCGAGATAACGATCGCGGCGAAACCGTTCTCGAGTCCGAGTCGATGCATCCTTACAACGAATACAGCTGGGAGGTGAATCAGATAAACCCTTGGTTGTCGGCCTGCGACCTGGCGGGCCCAGCGCCGGCCGATCTTCAGGGTAGCTGCGGCCCGCCGGAGGTGCCGAAAACCTGTCCGGCCGCGTGCGCGACCAGCTCGCCAGGAGGGAACAACGCCGAGTTCGTCGAGGTGATGAAGAAGGTCAAGGTTGCCGGGAATTGCTATTGGTCGACCGGTGGGAAAAAGGGTACGGCGACGACGAGGACGACGGCTACGGCTACGTCGACGTCGACAACGACGACGGCGACGGCGTCGATGGTGGCGGCGGCAGCGGTGGCGGCGGTGGCGGCGGAATCGGGACGGTTCGGCTCGAGTTCGATCAAGTCGTCGGGGGCAGACGGAGGAGGAGGAGGAGGAGGAGGAGGAGGAGGAGGTGGAGGTGGAGGAGGAGGCGGAGGCAGCGGGTTCGCGAGTGAAAAAACCAGAGGGACCGATCGAGAGAAAGCAGCCGATCGAGATGGCGTATCGATGGCTCCGGAACAGTGCCTTTTTTATCTCGAGGAGTCGCATAAGAGGGACATCTGTCGGGATGATTTTGGCCGGAGCACTAGTACGCGAAGTTTTTTAACCCCGAGGGAGAATCGATATTGGTTCATGAGCGGGTTGCGTCTGCGGCACTGCTGCGACCACGCGGTGGTCAACGCCCTGGCACCTGGCAAGGGCGGTCCGCTCGAGAACGTGCTAAACGGTGGCGAGAAGTGCGTCGATGCCCTGGACAAGCTGTTGCTCGTCGACGCGTTAGCCGCGAGGCTGCACTGTGAGTTCGAGGAAGTGCTCGCGCGGTACGACTGTGCACAGCCCTATTCGGTCATCTTCAACTGCACCCACTGCAAGGTAAGCACTCACACCTTTCTCTTTCCTTTTCTTTCTTTTTTTCTTTTCTTCTCTCTTCTCTCGTGTTTTCGTCCAAACGACTCGTCACGTCGCGTCGCATCGCGTCCTCCCCCAGAGAAACAGCCACTCTCTATCTCTCTCTCTCTCTCTCTCTCTCTCTCTCGCGCGCCTGTCTCGCGAGGTAGATTGGCCGACGATTTGGCAGACGACTCGCCAAACATAAGTAGTTGGCGCTACGTGCGACTCTCTAACGAGCGTCTCGTGTAGAAATTCACTTGGCAATTGGAAAAGAATTTCAAATTTCTCCCTTCACCCCGTCGCATCGTTTCTCTCCCTTTCTTCGTCAACGATTCCTTGCACCTCGCGCAAATTCCTCGCACGTACATACGTGTCCCCTTCTTCGTGGCTCCAGTTTGATTGTCTTCTGCGCTCGGGAACGCGGCCAAATTTGCACTAGCGGGCAAAAATTATAAAACACTTTGCAAAAAAAAATTACTGGCACAAAGGTTCTCGTTATGCTACGAAACAAACTCTTCATCTCATCAATGATACGAAAAAATGGTACAATTTTGCTTGGACAAAGTTACAAGACGCTGATTATAAAATTATAAACCTTGGAAAATTACTGGTACAAAGGTTTTCTTGTTGTAAAGGTTATAAACTTGTTGTAAACAATACTACCTGCAAATCACAGTTGCATATAATTTCAATGAATGTTTCAACAAACTCGTAATTTAGAATAATGTTACGAAAATTGTACAATTTCGCTCGAACAAAATTACAAGACACTGACAAAGGAAACATAGTAATTATCTTCGTAATTAATCGAAATTTTCAACTCTTTTTTTAAACGTTAACACTAAAACTACCAAAATAACTAATTTGTATTTTTTTTTTTTTAAGTTAATTTCGCGTTTCTTTTCAGAGATTCGAATGATTTTTACAAAATATACGAAAAGTTCATTATTGTATTATAAACCTTTTCCTATTCCTTCTAGTGTTGACAGTGAGTTGATCCTTCTTTTATAATTTTATTTTATTTCACTGTCGTCTCGTCCGTGTCAACGGCGCCGAGCATCGAAGATTTCCACGCTGACGGCGCGAATCGCGAATTTGCGAGAGGAAGAGCGTGGCTCGAGCGACGTCGACGCCAGTTTCAGCGCGATATCGATTTAAACGATTAGCACAGCCATTCGTTCGTCCCATTTGCGGCTCGGCAGCTAATGCCAAATTCGTCGGATCCTGCCCCGTTTCGTCTTCTCCTGTTCCTCGCCTTACAGGCACGTACCACAGGCGAGGTATCTCCTCTCTGTGCACGTACGAACCGATGCAACGCGACGACTCGTCTCCTCCGTTCCTCGTTTCCGTTCGTCATCACTTTTCGAACGAGCGTTCGTCGTTCCACGTGTTCTCTTTTCCCCGTTGGCGTCACGATTCATTAGATTAATGCATGGATGTCCAATCTTTTAGATACGGCCCCTATTGGCTAACAAAAATTTGTTGAGGGTCGCACATAGTTTATGTTTTTTTTTCTTTTTCTTTTTATCAGATCAATGTAACCTATATTACAGGTTATATGTACATATATGAATAGTCAATGTAGTCTAATACAGGTTAATATATGTACCCAAACCTATATTATTATTATTTATAATCTTGGTTATGTACATAACCTATATTATTATTATCTATAACCTAGGTTATATATGTAACCTATATTATTATTATCTATAACCTAGCTTATACATATAACCTATATTATTATTAACCTATATATATATATATAACCTATATTATCTATAACCTAGGTTTAGGTTAGGTTTGGGTTAGGTTATATATATATATAACCTATATTATTATTATCTATAACCTAGGTTTGGGTCAGGTTTGGGTTAGGTTATATATATATAACCTATATTATTATTATTATCTATAACCTAGGTTATATATATAACCTATATTATTATTATTATCTATAACCTAGGTTATATATATAACCTATATTATTATTATCTATAATCTATGTTGTATATATAACCTATATTATTATTATCTCTAACCTAGGTTATATATACAACTCACATTATTATTTGTGAGGATATTAAAATAACTTTTATAGTGAAACAAATTGATTAGAAAAATATATTCATATCAATTGAAAAGAATATGGAATTTTTTAGTGAGAACACTGAGCTTACTTTTTAAATACCAGTTCATCAATGTCTGGTTTGATATAGGTAGTGGCACGAAGAGTATTTTCAAGATGTTCGTCTAAGATTCTCTAAAGGACTATCGAATTATTAATTTATCACTGGATTTTTCATTAATTTTGTTTATGATGCTACGCAGCATAAAAAAATCATCTTCGTTTAGAGTTTACACATATGTTACAATAAAAAATAAACATCATTGTTCGATCGTATCAAATTTCATTTAACTCGCACGTCGAGGAGTTTAATTCTGTTCAGTTGATATTATTGTATTTTTAGTACTTTCATTCGTAACTCTTCGTAACAACCCTAATAAGCGTGTATCATTGGCCGATGGATCAACAAGACACGACCAGAAATTACACGTTTGCCACACGCTCCGCATGGATCGCGTGCCAGATCCTCCTTTCGATTCTCGAGGATAGGGACTGATTAATTAATTCTGTGCCACCGTTCGATGAAAGTTGAAGGATCGTTGACCTAGAAATCAGAAGAACGAACTTCGACGTTGGGCAGGATCTCGCGAGTCGTCCCTCACCTAGGCGGTGTAATGCGTTCTCGCATTCGCAATTTGTTTCAAATTCTACAGCTAAAGTAACGTAGCGTCGTTTCAAAATTAGCGCCCCCGCTAGCTTGAATGCAATTTTCATTCAATGTCTAATAAATATACCAACATTCGACAATAATGTTGCTATTATCCAGACTATAACAATATCGCTGAATATAGTTAATGTAGCAGTATCGAGTTTGCAAAGTGAGCATGCTATTGGTGAGAAATTGATCATTATTTATTAAACAATTTTTATTGAAGAATTACCCATTATTAAAATTATCAGTATCCTCCGAAAATTACGAACTTTCCCCGTTCGATCATCCAGTCCAGATTATCCAAAGTACCTAGAACAGTGTTTCCCAACCTTTTTTTGACCGTGCATCTCTAAAGTCCTGATACGCGCAATTCTTATTATTGTATTGAAAAGTGAACTTTTGACGTGGAGAGAGCCCAAGAGATCTTCCAAGGAACGTGAACGTCCACGAAAGAAAAAAAATAACAAAGTGAAGCGATGATGATAAACAAATAAAATTTTCGAAACGTACAAAAGAAACTGAAATAGCACAAATATAAAATATAAAAATATAAAATAATTTTAATGAAAACTTCTTTCGTTTTTAACTTATTACAAAATAAAACAAAGGTAGCTAACAAATTCAAGATACAATTTGAACTCATACTAACAATGAAAAAAAAGGCTAAAAATTCATTGTTAATAACTCATTTTCCCCCCCTCTTCCAGAAGATCAAATTGAGCCCCACGTTGGAAACCACTGGTTTACGCTCGCCCTGCGTAACCGTTTCTTAATCTTACGGGGACCGTTTGATGCTCGACTGATCGTGCAAATTTCGAAAGAAGACGTTGACCTATTATTCTCCCTGTTACATCCCTACCCTTCATCCCCTTTCTCACTGCTCGTCGTTATCGATGTTCTTTCAACATCCAGCGATGAATTTGTATAATTACGCGTAACCTAATTTGCACGACGTTTCTACGTCGACTGTATCGGAAATCAATTTGCAGATGTTCCGGTGCGTTGAACACCGTGGCTGCCAGCCACGTTATCCGTCACGTGTCGAGCTGTATCGGTGGCTATCGGTTTTATCGGTTTTTTATCGATTGCCCGCCGCGGCCCGGCCGAAAGTCGCGGTGGCTGAGAATTTTTGCGTTAGCGTTGTCGCCACCCCCTTGGACGGCGGTTGGGAAGGGTCGAGACGGTTCGTCCGCGGGTGCAGATGCACCCAGATGGGGGAGGACGTAAGGAGGCGCAGCCGGAGTGGCTCTCCTCTGGTACGCGGACCGCGACGCCGCGCGCCGGCGCGCAGACGTCGCCGTTAAACGTCCTCGCGCTACGCGTAATGCCGCTTGCCGACTTTCCGTGTACACACGACACGTACACGCCCGTTTATAAAAGTCTTGCGACACTTATTGTACAGGGTGTGCCGCGGCTCGCGGTGATTTTACCGACTGAGAGGTGTGAAGACGTGTCGGGAAGGAAGAGTAAGGTTTCTTCATTCTAGCCTTCGTTCTCGAGGAGATCGAGTTTTGAAAATTTGTCGACTGTGCTTGATTGCAAGGTCTTAATAAAGAAACTAATCCTCTTTTTTTTTTTTAGAGAAAGTCGAGATTGAAAATTTATACAAACTGTACATGAATCACTCGTGGTGATTCTCGAGAACGAAGGACGTTATTCTTTCTTTTCGGCACGTTTTTAGAATCATCTCTCAGTCGGGTTGGTCACGAGTATAGCGGACTATCCTGTATTTGTATTGAAGTCTAAAAATAAAAAATAAAAAATGTAAAGGGATTTTTTTTCTTACAAAAGACGAAAGAATACTGCACAAATCTTACCAAAAGCGTTTATTTTTTCTTTTTTGATCCAAGAATCCATCGCATTTCTTCATCACAGTTTCCACTTTATTCTTGCGGTCAATTTTCTCGAAAAAAAAAAAAAAAACAGTTTCTATGCGACGTGTTATTCCATTCTTGCTGCAGAATGCTTCGATAGATCTGTTTCTGAAGTAGGACACTTTGTAATTTTCAGTGAATTATTATTTCCAAATTGATTCAAATAATTTTCGCATACTTTTTGATGTGTGTTCAGGATGTCATCACAGATTGAAGCTCCGTCCAAACGGAACAGCGTTATCACGTTAAAACGTTCGATAACTCTTCTTTGTTTAAATTCTAATTCATTTGAACTAAATCACCCGTTTTCTTCGCCCACGCCATTGTTCGCCTCCGTGTTTCATTGTTGGCACGAGTAGTTAGAATCGAGCATGAACTAGTTGATTCTACGTGAAAAGAAAGAATAAAATTTCAATCGTTAAAGCCTTCGTTTTCAAAAAAAAAAAAAAAATCGAGATTGAGACGCTACTTCCAAAGTTATTCTACGCATAAAAGTAAGGGAAAAAAACGTTAGAACAAATTTTCCCTGCAAGATGCTCCGTCTTCGAGGAAATCGAGTTTGAACATTTCTCAAGTACACGTGTACTCGAGCCTCGAACTTCATCAGTTTGTAGGATCTTTTTCCCCAATCTCCAATTGTCACCAGTTTTCACGTTCCTCTGCTGGCTGTAACCTCTTTATTTAGCCTCGCTTCCTTAATAAAGGTTTCTTTAACAGCTGCACACTGGCACGAAGGCCATCTTCTGAATGTCGCCGCTTCACACAGTCGCGGCAGGTCTTTAGTTAGAAACTCCGAGTGCCCTAACTAAGGCTTGTGAGCTGGAGTGTGTGCGCAAACTGTACGCGCGGATTGTCGGTGGTAGACAAACACAGAGGGAGATCCTCGCGTAACCTTGTTCATGGCTCGAAATCGCCGTCCGAGTGACGGATCGTTCGCTCGATAAAACCGATTTCCTTGGAAACTTGAACGTTGCCTGTTTCAAGCTCGCGACCGTTCGATCTTAACCTCTTGCCTCTCGTCGAGAATTGTCCCAAAATTGCAATATTTTCTCAGTTTTAAGTATATTTAAGTATAACCCAGGCAAAACAAATAATAAATTTATTACTTCTCAATAATATCGTACCGACGAGTTCAAAAAGAAAGCGACGAATTACTGTATACGGTTTGGTCACTCGTTATGGTCCGCAATCAGTTGCCAGCGCAAGTGGTTAACCTCTTGCCCTGGAATGACGTGTCACGCACGTCGAGAATTCTTTTGTTCCAAGATTGTAGTATTTCCCCAGTTTTAAGTATATTTAAGTAAAACGAAATAGACGAAACAAATAATAAATTTATTACTTCTCAATAACTTCTATCCAGCGATATCATACCGACGAGTTCAAAAACAAAGCGACAAATTATTGTATACGGTTTGGTCACTCGTTATGGTCCGCAATCAGTTACCAACGCAGTGGTTAACCTCGCGTTGGAATGACGTGCCACGCACGTCGAGAATTGTCCCAAAATTGCAATATTTTCTCAATTTTAAGTATATTTAAGTACAACCCAGGCAAAACAAATAGTAAATTTATTACTTTTCAATAATATCGTACCGACGAGTTAAAAAAAAAAAGCGACGAACTATTGTATACAGTTTGGTCACTCGTTATGGTCCGCAATCAGTTGCCAGCGCAAGTAGTTAAACTTGTGAAAAGATCGAGAGAAAATACACATATACAGCTGTCAAATTATGCAATTGCTTTCAATTATTTTCGATCGCCATAGATAACATATTAGTAATCTCGCTTTCTACGCCAAAATGAACATTTTCGATTTCTGTTGTTAAATTAGGCGTTTAGTTAGATAAATGTTAGATTACCATACGTACTTTCCATCGAGTAAGTCTTTTCATAAAAATCCTCTTGATTTGTGGGCAAAATGCCGATTTTGCAGTAGTAACAAATCAGGATAATATAGTGGATTGTCACGAGTCGATTTAAAAATCGATCTTTCACGATTTTTTGCGGTTAAGTAACTGAGAGTTACAATAACATTCTTCGTGCTTTACACTCTTCGTAAAAGTCGCAGTACTGTACACCTTTCCTGTTTGATGAAAACGCTTCCATATAGTATAGTGGACCAGAAAAGAGTTTGGATGTAAGAGAAAAATGGCGTTACTTGTAATAATGTATACCTAATAATAATAATATACCTATTAATTGTATAGTTTGCCAACGGGATAAAAAGATGGCGACACGATGCGTTTCAAAGTGTCAAGTGTCTCTATTTGTACGAGTGACATTCGGTACAAAGTAGACAAATATACAATAGATTGTCACAAGTAGACAAGATTACGGGTAGATTGTCATAAGTAGACGAGACGGAAAGAGTATTCGTGTTTTTTTAATGTTCGTTCAAATTTCATTTGACACGTCGCACGAACTCGCGCGTATGATCACGTTGACGCGTTTCAAAGGGTTTAGGTTAGGTCAAACGTCGAGTATGGTCGCCCACGGCAACTAACGACTTGTTTGCAACCGTGCGCGTGCTTCGGATAATTCTTGCGAACAAATATGAATCACGAATTACAAATTACGATTTTCCGTGGAGAAATTAGTTTTCGTTCAACGGTCAATCGAGAAAGCGAGGAGACTCGTTTCGTTAAAGTGTCTTTCAAATCAGTGGAAATTCGCGCGTATAAAGTCAAAGATGAAAGTTGGCGATTGCAAGAATGAAGAACTGAAAGAGATAAGGAACAGGAAAGATCGAGTAAAAATGAAAGGTACGTTAGAGAAGGAACAACGAGAGAGAAAAAGTGAATAATTTAGTATCTAGTGAAAAACTCGAAGGGGAAACTCGAAGCTGCGAAAACCACTAAGATAGAGATATGTACGTAGAGAGTGAATGTGTGTGTGTGTGTGTGTGTGTGTGTATACAACCAAAAATAAAACCAAACTACGTTTCCTCTTACTGAAAAAGAAAAAGAATTTCACTCGTCGTTTCGCAGCTTGAAACGTTTTTCTTTCTTCTTTATTTTCATTATTTAAGGTTAGGTTAGGTTTTTTACCACTTGTTATTAGCGATTTGAAGCTAAATCTTACAATTTATTATAAAGGTTAGACCGTCTGAGAAAGTGTATTAGTTTTAGAATCGATTCATTATCGTTCAGAGAAGGACTTATGCTCAGTTGATGTCTATTCGCGGTGTATTTTCTGCACTTGACTATAATATATTCCACTGTCGATTGAACTTTGCACAAATCACAAATTGCAGGATCTTCTTTGTCAGGGAGATACTCAACAAAGAGAGTGAGTCCCGTTATGATCCTTGATGATAGATTACAACTTGATCGTATCTCGGTAGAGAACAAACAATTGTCTTCGTAAAAAACTCATTCTTGATTGTTGTTAGCCACCGTTTACGCGAGGATTTCCGTTTGTCGTTCCAGTTTCCTTCGGTTTTCTAGTTTTAAGCTGAGAATTAAGTATAAACCTTCCTGCTAAGGAGGCAATCTTGAAACTTTCTTTTCTTTCGATTGGAAAACACCCTTTGGGGGAAATCGTAATTTGAACTATGAAACACGACGATACACAATAATGAAGAAGGATCTTCGATCGAGATCGCCTCGAACGCGACAGCGGAGAAAGTTGTTTCTGGTTGGCTAGATCTTTGGTGAGCGGTTATTACCGATGCATAATATACGCAGTTGCAACCTGTCCGATGCAGCGTGCGGCCACTCCTCTTCCTCGTTCGTTTCCTACGTGTGTGTGTATGCATATTCATATACGTATACATTTGCACACACAGGTATACACAGTGTATAGGCGACGTGTCGTGTGCAAGTTATGCGCGCACATGTTATTCAACGATACGATGTTGATGTCTCGGTTCTCGTCCAGAACCCAATGTAGGTGGACACGTAAGGGTAATTGGCAACAAACTACGCGGATGAACGTCGTTCTGCCAGCCGTATTCCTTATTATTCCCCGATGAGCTAGGCGTTTCCTTCGAGTATATCTCGTTTCCGATATACGTCTGTACTTCTCTTTTGTCTGGAATTTCTCGTCGTTTGCGCTCGCGTCCAACGACTGAACCAACGACTCCTTGCCGGGGATGTTCTCACGTTCTCGCCGAGGGACAAGCTTTGCTTTGACTTTTGCAAAAAGAGGGCTGGTTTCGTAGAAACAATTGGACAGTTGATTATTTTTATTTATTTTTATCTATTTTATAAAGAGAGGGCTGGTCTCGTAGAAACAATTAAACATAGCTGATGATTCTTTTGCTCATTTTTATTTATTTTACAAAAAGGGGGCTGGTTTCATGGAAACAATTAGACTGTTGTTGATTATTTTTGTTCGCGCAAATACCAAAGATACAGTATTTTCGCAATGGAGCGGAAAGGTGGATGGACGAAGTTGGACGAAGTTGGCCGGTAGATCCACTGCCGTGGAGTTTAGCATTTTGCGCGACACGTCGGTCTATGCATTTATGCATCATGAGAAAACAACGACTCCGTTTCGACTTTCATGCGAGCGTATCGATTGTGAAAGCCTCGCCACCGGCAATTAGCGTAATCGCGTTTGCTAAATCGAGCGTATGTATATGTACGGATTTTTTAACATTAATAATGTTTTTTTTATCGAGTTTTTAAACAGAATATAAAAAAATAATATGTACCGTTTTGGTATATCTCCTAAAAACAATTTCACGAGCTTGTCATCGACACTATTCCGGCAAATATATGAATTGTTTTCGCGGGAGTTGGTTTTGCACCACAATTAATTTAAATGAAAAATTGTCAGCACTTTAAAGTGTCGTGACTTTATTAAAAAAAGATCATATAACAATCTGCTTGGTCTCGTTTTTACAAAACGTAAAACTTCTGTTTTCATTATTCTGAATTCATTTTTTTTTTTCAAGATATTTTTCAAGATATTTCAAGAACGCCATGTGGCAAATGAAAAAGTGTTTTTTCGTAAAAATTCGTAAAAATATGTAAGAACACTGAAAAGTTTTATTTACGACTAAATCCATCGCGATCTCGAAGATTAAAGTTTCCCTCGAAACTTGCTGTGCAACTCTCTTTTTTTCATCATTTTATTAAACTTTTTTCTTTTGATTGTTTGAGTGATTCTTTTTTTTTTTTTTTTTTTGCGGTTTCATTGAACTTCGAACATTGAGGTTAAGTGACGAAATATTAGGTTTTCTCGAATTTTTGTTACTCGATAATGTTAACGATAATTTAAAATATCGTAACATATCTTTTTAACTGTTAGGTTTAGGACAAATGTAGCTTGATACTTTTTTGCTTGAAATTTAATATTCTACTGATATACATATGGTCCAATTAAAAAAAAAAAAAAATGGAGATGACCTTGAAAATTTCGATATCCACAAAATATTGACACGCCACATTCTGCCTCCCCTAAGATCGTACAATTTTTCACTAGACGTATAATTTCAAAGTTATTTCAGGTGTGCAAGTTGCGTGAATCACCCTGTATATGGGCACGTGTGCGTGCATCTTTTAAAGCGTACAAAGTCGCGATTTGTCACGCTTTGATTATCGTATCGAAATAATCTTCGTCGATTTTAAGAAACTTCAGAATTTCGGATTTCAAGGAATTTCAGTATCTCGGATTTTTGCAAATATAAACGGACGTTGTTGTGATTTGCGCGTGTTGCGAAAAGTTTGAGGTAAAATAAAAATATCGCAACTTACGCTATACGCGACAACAGTGTGCTCGACGAGACACGGTGGGGGAGAGTGTGGGGGCACGGTCCCCCGATAAATCTTTAAGCAGTGAAATCGAGTTTCCGCGGTAGTTGGCGTTTAACGACGCTAACGTGTCGTCGCAGGTCCCGATCGATCGATTCTAACGAAGGCGAATTAATTAACAAAATTGACGTCAAGCCGGACGGCCGACGCGAGTCGACGCGTTTTTTCTCGATATTCCCCGGCGGTAAAAATAAGCCGCGTTAATTTCGGCCGACCGGAAGACCGATCGGGGTTGCCAGTCGAGCGACGACGGAAAAGGTCGGTGTGTAGCGGTCTTAAATCAAGCTCCCGTTTTATTCGAACGCCTCTGCCTCTGTCTCTGTCTCGTCCCGGTATTCTCGACACTTCGGATCGCGATCGTTTCTTTTAACTCGCTCGAATTAATTAATTAGCAAAAACTGACGTCAAGGCGCCGCGCTCGGTTCAAACTGCATCAAACGCGGCGGTGGGTATATACAGGGTGGGCAGAAAAAAGGGTTCGTAACTTCTAAGGGTAGAGTAATACTCCCTGAAACGAACGAATAAAAGTATGATAAAAGTAATAAATAATAAAATAATAAAAGTATAATGAAAGTATAATAAAAGTAATGTAATAAAAGTATAATAAACTTTGGCAGGTGGAAATTAATAGTTTGAAAATTATAAACGATTTTCGTTTCGGTTTGAAGAAAAAAAAAAAACCTCTTCGTTTCGACAGTTATCGCACTGCGATATGCAAGCAGTGGCTTACCTTTGTAATTTCATCTTTTTCTGACTGCACGACGTTTTCTACGTGTCCTTTCATGCTCGAACACTTTCGTATTAAATAATTACGTACTGTCTCAAACATCCCCGGATGTGCTCTGACTTTCTCACCGAGCAAAAAAATCGTTTATAACTTTGAAGCTGTTAATTTTCCAACTCGTGTTTATCAGCACTTTGTTTCACATACTGGCCAGTACTGTCCTAGAAGTTACAAACACCCTGTAATGTCTATATCTACGTTAGACCAACAAATGGGTGTAAATTACAACATACTCCACACGCTGTTACGATTAATCGTTTTGCCTTTGAATCGTTTTATAATACTGCGGTGACAATGATTATCGAGTCTGTAAAGTGTGCAGAGGTTAAGGTGCATTATTATACTATACTATTCACCATTATTTACTATGCTATACTATACTTTACTATATTAAATATATACTAAATAATACAGCTAATTTACTATTATTTACTATACTAGTATATTTAAAATATTATAATATACTATAATACTATAATGTAGTATACGATATACTATAATTATGTTACAATACAATATACTACATTAAATATACAGTTATTTGTATTATTCCAATCAGTAGGAACATTTACGTATACATAAAGTGTCGGTAGTACGTTTAGTGTTAACACACTAGGAATAATCGTGCACGCCCCACAATATGTAAAACGACATACACGATCGAGTTCGTAACAAATTTAAAAAAAGAAAAAAGAATTCCTCGTCTTACGATGAAAATAAATGCCAAGATTTTCGGCCCTAACGGAAAGTTCAACCGTGGGGAGTGCCTGTGTGGCACGGTGCTAAAAAAAAAAAAAAAAAAAAAATGGTCGGTAGAGAGACGGATGGATTGTCGTTTGACAACAGTTGGCGTGCGTCGCTCGAAGGGGAGGGAAACGTGGTAATAAAAAGGTAGGCGCGTGTCGGACGCGTTCGAGGGGGGGGGAGAGGGGGGACGCGTGGATTCTCGGCCTCGGAGCGAGATTCGAGTCGAAAGAAGAAGAGCGGAAAGGAGGCGAGCAGAGTAGAGAAAAAGGGGAATCGGAGGGGTTGCCCCGAAGCTTGGCATGGACGAAGGATGATGGCGAGGAGGGGATTCGGCGGGAGGGCCGAAAGGGGTGGGAGGATGCAAGGTGCAATCAATAGCGAGATTGCCCTCGCTCTCGGTAGCTACTCAACGCCAATAGAGGCACGTTATAGAGGCGAGGGTAGAGCCGTTACGATTGCAGATTCGCAGCCCGTTCTGCACCTGCGATTCTGTGCAACACTGCGACACACGTTGGATTCTGCATAGTCGGATTCTCGTCGTGAGAAACTCCTTCATCCGTTTGTCGAACGTGCGCTATCGTCGATTCGAGAAATCGATAGAGACGAGACAATTTGACCGTGACACCCGATACGTGTCGCGTTGCGTCGAA